GGTTAAAGTTTATGAAACTCACCTGCAGCTGCAAGGAGCAGGAACAGAGGAGCACAAAACATGCTGGCTGATGAAGCAAACATCCTGTTAACAAACCTTCATACTGTGACATTTTATAGCAGATGGGAGGAGGAAAAGTTTGCATGTGAAAGAGTGTTGTTTTAACAGGAACCAATAGAAGAATTGACCTTTAACTAAAAAAACTTGGATCAAGAACAAATGATGTCTACATTTGATTTCAAAACAACCCATTCTTGTCTAAACGTAGCATTATGTTTTAGCATAACAATCTTCAATCTTTGCATTAGGAGTTCTCCACACTTTTCAGTTTAACTTTATAAAGATAAAACATTTCTCTGAAATCTAATGAAGCACCACATACCACACATTATTCCTAAAATTTACTTTAGGATTTCTTTTGACTGAAGTATATTGTTTTGTAACAGCTGACAGGTTTTAATGTTGTCATTATTTAGTCGCTAAAATAATATTTTTGAAGAGATCTGTGTGACACAATATTTTATTTTGTCTCGGTGAATACAAAATGAGCAAGGTAAAGATGAAAATGAGTGAAAGTGTTTGTCAAAATGTTTCAATGTTTTGCTTTAATTTTTTTTTATCTATTCTTGTATTTTAATTTTTTATTTTCTACATAACACTTTGGTCCACTGTGGTCATTTAAAAGTGCTTTATAAATAAAGTTTGATTGGAATCTTTTACCCTTTTTCGCAAACTTTTTTCTTTTGTTTTTTTTCTTTTTATTTTTTTCTACTGTGGCTTTTGAGCATAAGTCAAACTCAGACTTATGCTCTGAGCATCTAACCCGCTATTGACACCAGGTTAGCTAAAATGTCCAGTGTGGTGTGAAGTAGAACTGGATGCATCAGCTCTTAAAGAGAAGAGATTGTGCAGAACTTCAGCTGATGCGACTTTTAGGTAGAGATTAAAAAATGATAATGAAGATGAAGATAAAGATGAGATGCCGCATCAATATTGATCATCCTGCTATAAAAAAACATCAATATTGATATTTCACAATTCACTTATGCAAAGTATATTATATAAAATCTGTAAAGCAGTTGGATAATTGTGCATTAAGGGCATTTCTACAAAATATTACATATTTGCTTTTTCTCTCAAAGTTAGCTACATAAATTTGACTGAAATCTCATCCAAACTGGCAGCTGCAGTGCACAAATTCATAATCATTGGACATGTTCACAGTGTATCTGCTTGCTGCTGAGTTTTTGCATAGGGTTACCTGTGGTTTGTACCACAGTGCGTCTTCTCACACAGTAATAAACAGCTGCGTCTTCAGGTTGCAGATTCTGTCCTGTTATTGTTACTGTTCCAGCAGAAGTGTCTCTGATGTAGCTGAACTTGTTCTTCAGGGCATAATTCTTGGTTAAGCTTCCACCACCCCACATGTGAAAAATCCATTCCATTGGTTTTCCTTCACGATGTCTGATCCATCCTGTCGCATAGTCATCATCAGTCATAGAATAACCAGAAGGCCGACAGGTGATGGTCAGTGACTGTCCAGGCTGGACAACTTTAGAGTCTGGCTGGATCAGATCAATGCAGTAGACACCTGTAGAAACAAAGATAATCATTAACACAGTGAGTCATTGATACTGATGTAATAATTAATAGTTTGAATCTGTAGGCATCTCCTCACAAGATCCAGTTGTCAGGAGCAGCAGTATGAGCGACAGAGAGAACATGGCTGATGCTGAATCTGAACTGAAGGATGCTCTTTGCTCCTCTGACTTATAACGACACCTCACTTCCTTTTAAACTTTGCATCTTGTCGTAAAACAGGCTGCTTGTTCTAACTTGATTTAGCATCATTATTTTTAATGTCCTGTCTTTTGCAGACTTCATCAAAGCTTTAAAAAAGTATTTCAAACTGGGGAACCCTATTTCAGAAGTTGTTCTCGAACTCAATAAGAAAATGCACACCTACTTTAGACTTTATCCATTTTGGTTACAGCATGCTTCACTTGTTGTAAACCACTGCACTATACAATTTTCATTTAAAATCTGTGTTGATTATAAAAGCAGGCTTTCCTCTCTAAAGTGTTCATTGTTAATATTTCATCCTCTGTCGTCTTTTTTGGGGGGATTTTTTACATGAACCACTTCCCACATCCAGTGTAGGAATGTTTTCAGGATTAGATTTTATAAATCTTTAAATTCACACCTGCTGGGAGCAAATTTTAATTATACTCCTCATTCACTCATGAAACCAACGTCATCTCACAGTCCCTATTATTGTAAAAGCGTCTTACATTTTTTTCATTTTTTACACATGTTCTGGAGATATTGAGTCTTGATACTTTTGATTTATTAATGTTTTTATTTTTTTGCCCCTCTAGGTTGATGATGTTATGATCACTCACAAATGTCCAATTACAGTTTCAATAACAGGAATTCAATTCTGTTAGTTGATTTTAATTTATTAAATGTGAAAAAGTCTTGAGAATTTGTGATTTATTTCTTAGTCTTTTTATTTTAATTGCCATGGGAAACATCTCTTCTCTTTAAAATATTTAGGAAGCCATTTGACTTTTTTTGTCTACTCATCTCATATCCATTAATGCTATTTATTTAGCCACATTAAATCTGAGCTACATATCCTTCATGCATTAATACAACTCGGGCGGAGCCACTTTTATTAATTAAATACAGGAAAGCAAAATTTTAATGTACTGGTAGATCTTGTGGTAAGTTTTTATCAGTCAGTCCCAAAAACAGTTTGTTGAATTTTCCCCATAGTTAGTCAGTTAAAACAATTCAGCAGATTGTAACAAAAACAACCTCAAAAACAATATATCAATGTGAGACATAATTGTCAGTAAAATGTTGTGAGGACAATTAGAAAATCTACCAGGTATTTAAGTATTTACATTTTCATTTGTCACTGACAGTTCTCAGAAACCAGATGTCTTTGTGATCATATTGTTTTTAATCTGTGGATGTTTTTGTGCAGCTGTTCCTCTGCTTTCAGTCACTGTGTCTCTCGAGCGCAGAAGTAAACAGCAGAATCTTCTGCTGTCAGGCTGCTGATCTGCAGGTACTGGGTGCTGCTGGGGACATTTTCAGTCATGATGAAACGACTTTGGAAGGAGCTGCCATAGATGACAGCATTTCTACCATTGTCCATCCTCCCAATCCACTCCAGTCCTCTCCCTGGTCTCTGTCTTATCCAGTGGTTATAATGGCTTGTCGGGCTGTACCCAGAAATGACACAAGACATCTTCACTGTCTCTCCAGGTCTCTTCACCTGAGAGTCTGACTGCTCCAGTTTGACCTGACTCCAGACTCCTGTAAGAAAATGTCTTGTCATTATCTAATAAAATCACAAATTATTGCACGAATGAATAAAAAAATACATATATGAGGTCTCACCATGAATAAAAACTACAAAAAGAAAAGTGCAGATGACTGATTTCTCCATTTTATGGGAAAAAATCAGTTTGACAGTATGATTTAAGAAAAATGTGTTGTATTTTTTGCTCTTTGTCCAATGTAAAATATGCAACAACTGCTGATGGGATCCTTTTAGAAGAAAAACACTTTGCATAGACCCTCCCCTGACTACAGGCTACGCTTGTGTCTACACCTATGGCTGATTTCCATACTCTATAACAAGATAAATTAATGTGAAACGCTATTAAAGTTTTTCTTGTAGATTTTTTGTAGATTGTTCATTTAGGTTTGATCTGTCATACACCATTACCAATTATGCAACAAAAACCCTCATTTGCCAATTTTGAAGTTAGCAAATTACTCTTAAACATTAAATGAGGTTTTATTTTAACATCAGGGTTTTAATACAAATGTGAACTGTCAGCATAGAAGCCGTAATTATCAGTATTTGTAGAAAATAGTGACAAATAAAGAAATGCAGCTAAAGCAGAAAAAATAAATGCTATTTATTGATAAAAGAAAAATGTTGGACATTTGAGTGAAACTCTGCAATAACCAAACTGAAACTGCACTCATTTGCATCCTTGTTATGCAAAACCAAGAACAAGAACAGAAACTGGTAGGACAGAAAAGATATGTCCTTGTGATGTTAAAGGAAGACACAGTCATAAAGTGTAACAAAAAGCATGTGCAGGAGTTAATATGTTTTCAGAAGTAATAATTCTTCACCTTTTATAAGTTGTAACATCGTTTTGACTCTGGTCTGTTAAGAGATGTGTCTCAACAAGACCTAAACAAAATTCATGTTTGTGACATTTCCATAGCAACAGAAATGTAGCAAAACCAAGCAAAGAAAGAGAGAAAACATCAGAATTATCTAAACATGTTCGACTGAATACACAGAAAAGAAACAATTAAAGACTGGTTTCAACAAATACCTAAATGTGGTGTTGTAGCTCCCTCTGTGTTGGGTTTGTCTTAAAAACTTTCATGTGCTGAATCGTTTTTGTACAGAGTTCCTGGTTTCTGTGTCACTGTGGACCATCGAGCGCAATAATAAACAGCAGAGTCCTCCGCTGACAAGCTGTTCATCTGCAGATACACCTGACTTCTGCTGTTGTCTCTGGAGA